AGAAAGTCTGCAGCTGGCACATCAGCCAAACTTGCATAGGCTGTCAGTGGCAATCATAGCCAACACTCTGATTGCTTCTGAATTTCAGATCTTGACTAAATACTTGGCATAATTTCCTGCCAGGTTGCTGGGAGAATCCCCAACAGCCACCGGGGTACATGAGTTACTAAGGATTGGCCATTTGAACCCTGTAGAGATAATCAGTGACAAACAGTTTCATTCAGACCAAGAAATGATTATGGCAAAGGATGATGATGAGGATGATTAGGTTTGGAGGATGCTCATTCTAAAATAACTCTTGCTGGTTTACAGTTATACCTCATATACAAGCTCTCACCTCAAAAAACTAAGCAGCCAAGGTTTTGAAGACTTTCAGAACTGCACCAAGGTGGGAGTTACATGGATCTCAGGGAATGAGGGATATCATTCCAGAAGGAAGACTCCTTAAAACATTCTTCATCTTCAGATTGTATATTAACAACTCTGAGGTGAAAACTAAGTCTTAACATATGGTTGATTGTATGAGTCAAGTTTGAAATTTCATGGGATAAGTTGATGGTTTTCATAGAGGCCATGAATTCTTACCCTTCCCAGAACAACCTTTCTGCCTAGGAAGGGCGATTGAAAACCCCCAATAGCCAGGAAAACTCCAAAATCAGCCCAGCAATAAGTTCCAGGTATTAAGGAAGGGATACTGCAATGTAATAGTGAATCTGCAATAACATTTGAGCCTCAAGTTTTGTTAGAAAGAGCAGCAAAGCACAGAAATAATGGACACCTAAAAATAATGGGTAATGATAACAGATCTATATTATAGATCTTTCAATTGGAACATCTAAAGTAGCCTTTATTGGACAGCCTCTACATATTTTGAGCATTAGAAGAAAACAAAAGTAAATTCTTCCTTTTTAAAATTTCCTGCCTTTAATTATTCAATGCTGTCCCTTGTGGTCTACGGCAGTGGTCCCCAACCCCCGGTCCGTGGACCGGTGCCGGGCCGTGGAGTACCTGGCACCAGGCCGCGCAGCGGCCGGGGGACATGAACGCTGCAGCACAAAGGCTCCTGGGCCGTGCGCAATGGGCTGTGCGCAAAAGCTCCTGGGCCGTGCCCCCACCCCTGCGCGCGCTCAGCTGGCCGCGGCGATAAAAAGGTTGGGGACCACTGGTCTATGGTACTATGAATAGGACAGTTACAACTGAACATGCTGGTCACTGATTTCAAGACACAACCATAAATTACAAACCACAACAATTTGTTCGCAATAGATTTATTATAAAATGTTAACCCAAACACCATCATAAACATTATGATTTAATACAATACCATATGTGAAACCTAGATGACTCAGATGTTATGCAAAGTTATTGCTTATTTTACTATGGTTGATAAATACCGGTAATGTTTTCTATTATAGTAAGCCAAACACCACAATAAACAATCAATAGCTAATTTCACAGAATACTCTTAAGTTAAAATCAAATAAACCATATTACTATTATGGTCGAATGAAATACTATGCCATAGTATGGTTTGATTTTGCCCTAGTATCTCATGTGATCCAGCCACTGTGGCTGGTAGACCATGGTTTAGGCAAGAGAGGTGGCAGTCACTTCTAGAATTAACTATTTTTGGCTGTTTATAATTTGTTGGGTATGTAAAATCCTTCATCAGTCTGCTTAGAATTTGAAAGCAATGACTGATTCCATGGTGACGTTCCCCATTTTATTAAAATAGCTTAATATGTTTTCTGTTTGCCTTGTAGAGCAGAAATGGACACCAGTGGATTAGCCATCTGGATCATAATGACTTTTGAAGCAGTTCATGATGATAAATGTTGAATGTCTTGTTATGCAAGCATAAAATAAGCCATGTTGTAAAATAGATTATTTAATTATGAATGCAAGCACAGAGGTAATTATGGTAAGCTAAGGTATCTTTGGGGAAATTTATTGGTTTTATTAGCAGAAATTTAGGAAAGATTAGTTGATAACCAAATACACAGAATGAATTCAAGTCATAGAACTAAAAACAACAACAACCCCAAGATTTAATTAAAAGCAGGCTCAGACTTCATTTAATTCATATTTGCGTCCATTCTTGCCACACTGTGTAATGATTTACAGTCCCCCCTCCTTTATCATTACACTATGTATTTAAAACATTTTAAATTATGGCTTCATATATTAAACTACATCACAGGCACCCTAGTATTACTGCAAAGAAACAGGGAAGAATTAATTGCTCTAAGTATTGATTGAAAACAATAGGAATAGATATCACCTACCACTGTGCTCATAATATTAAATGAAGTGATTTCCCCCCACTATATTAAAAAGTGACATCAAATAGATGGTGGATTTTTTTTTAATAGTGACCCTAAAGGCAGCTAGCTGGCAATCTTCCTACTGCTTTTATGAAGGCTAATCTTATTTTGAAGATTGCTATTTAATTACCAGTGAGAGAATCAGCATGGCATTGTGGTTAGAATGTCTGTGGGAGACCTGTTTTCAAAACTCTGCTTGACCATTAAACTCACTGGTTCAGTACCGATCCCTTCCCCAGGGTGACAATAAAATGAGTGGGAAGGAGAAAGTGAAGTATACATATAAATTAGTTTCCTGGTAGAATATAGGAAACTAAATAAAAAAAATCTAATAAATTTTCCTTTTGGTTAGAATAGCACATTTTTCATTTACAAAGACAAATACAGATGATCAAGTCATGTATTTTAATTTACTGGACACTTTTCTTGAGAGACAGTGTAAGAAAAGGTGCACCAAAGCATGCTTTTAGTTTAACATTTCACAGCTTAGTTGTGCAAATATGCTTTTAAAGTAAATGCTGAAGGTCAAAGCTGTCTATTTTTTCTCAACAGCTTAGATTTAAAGAAAAGTATCGATCTATTCCTTATGAAGTGGAGTCATAACTGAGCACTAGAAGTTCAAATTTTAGATCAAAACAAATAAATTGTAGCTATAATCCTCAAGACATTTGGCAACACATCCATTAAATTCTGAGAGATTTAGTTCTAAATAAACAAGTGTACGATTTTATTGAATTTGAAAAATAAATTTAAATTAATTACATAAAAATTTAAATGCAAAATTAAAAAAGTTAAGCTGAATTTATGGCCAAACTGCCTGCAATGCCAGTATATCTGTTTACAGAGATTATGCTCACTCAGGTATTTCTAAACCCAACATATTGTTTGAACCAGTGATGGAATTCAATTTTTTTTACTACTGATTCTGTGGGCGTGGTTTGGTGGGCGTGGCAGGGGAAGGATACTGCAAAATCTCCATTCCCACCCCACTGCAGGGGAAGGATACTGCAAAATCCCCATTCCCTCCCCACTCCTGGGGGAAGGATATTGCAAAAACTCCATTCCCACCCCACTCAGGGGCCAGCCAGAGGTGGTATTTGCTGGTTCTCCGAACTACTCAAAGTTTCCGCTACCAGTTCTCCAGAACCTGTCAGAACCTGCTGAATAACACCCCCTGGTTTGAACCTAGGAAACCAAACTATTCTGAATCAAGAGCGGGACCATTCTAACCCCAAAGTGAATTGTTAACCAAAGTACTTCTGGCTGGTGATCCAATACTGACTAGGCCTAGGGTCACTAATTCACCAAGCATGTGAGACTAAAAATGCAAACTGTCCCATTACAAACTCACCGGCAAGGCCTAGCAGTCACAGGACATGACTTCTAAAGCCTTGACTGCAGCAGCTGGGAAATGGCCAATGGCCAATGGCCATTACTCTTTTGGCACAACAATCATAGGATACAGGTAGTCCTTGATTTATGACATTTGATCCCAAAATTTATGTTTCTAAGTGAGAAATTCGTTAACTGAGTTTCCCCCCCATTTTATGACTTTTCTTACCACATTTGTTAAGTGAATCACTGCAGTTGTTAAGTCAGTAATACCACTGTTAAGTGAATCCGGCTTCCCCATTGACTCTGCCTGTCAGAAGGTTGCAAAAGGTGATCACATGACTCCAGGACACTGCAACTGTCATAAAAATATGAACCAGGTGTCAAACATCCGAATGTAAATCACCTGACCATTGGGGATGCTGCAATGATTGTAAGTGTGAAAAATAGTCATAAGTGTGAAAAATAGTCATAAGTCAGTAATGTTGTTTAGTGAATCTGGCTTCCCCATTGACTCTGCCTGTCAGAAGTTTGCAAAAAACGATCACACAACCCCAGGTCACCGCAACCATCATAAATACAAACCAGGTATCAAACATCCGAATGTAAATCACGTGACCATGGGGATGCTGCCACAGTCATAAGTGTGAAAAATAGTCATAAGTCAGTAACATGGTTGTTAAGTGAATCCAGCTTCCCCACTGACTCTACTTGTCAGAAGGTGCAAAAGGTGATCACATGACCCCAGAACACTGCAACCGTCATCAAAATACGAACCAGGTGTCAAGCATCTGAATCAGGGGTGGGTTCTACTTACCTTTACTACCGGTTCGCAACGGGGCCGCACGCGCACGCTCGCTTCTGCACATGCGCAGAAGCATTTTGATGACGGTGGGGTCGGTGGGCGGAGCCTCCCGCCGGTTTTACTACCGTTTCTATAGAACCAGTGCGAACCGGGGGCAACCCACCACTACCTATCTGAATATAAATCACCTGACCATTGGGGATGCTGCAACGGTCATAAGTATGAAAAATAGTCATAAGTGTGAAAAATAGTCATAAGTCAGTAACATGGTTGTTAAGTGAATCTGGCTTCCCCAACCTTCTGCCTATCAGAAGGTTTGGCAAAGGTGATCACACGACCCCAGGACACTGCAACTTTCCTCATACATACGAACCAGGTATCAAACATCCGAATGTAAATCACGTGACCCATCATAGGGATGCTGCCACGGTCATACGTGTGAAAAATAGTCACGAGTCGCTTTCTTTCAGCGCCGCTGTAACTTCGAACGGTCACTAAAGGATCTGTGGTAAGACGAGGACTACCCGCAAGCCTTTTACCTTGTTAGTAAGATGGTGTACGCTTCCAGCAGCATCCATGAGGTACTGCGACATGAGAGGCCGCCTATCGCCGTCGACTAATCTCCCCCCCAAAAGGGGCACGAAGGCAGGTTCCCCCCCCACTCCACCCCCCCCGGGGCGAAACTAACCGTCTCGAGGGGGCGGGGCTCGTTTTCGGGCTGTCCTGGCAGCGGCGGCGCGTGAGGCGCGCGGTAGCCATGGCGACGGCTGCGCCTGCCGCCCGCGAGCCGGCGGCATGTACGACCGGACTCCCCGCTCCTTCCCTCTGACGGTGGGCTGCACGAGCCCCCACCTAGGCCCCGGCTGCTACGACTTGCCTTCCCAGAACAGGCAGATTCGAGGTGAGCGGCGGGAAGACGGGGCAAAAAAAAGAAAACAGCAACAAAAAACCAAGCCTTGCCTTCACTCCCGCCCGAAACGTTTATCTTTTTTTTTTTTCCTCCCTCGCGCGTCTCTACGTAACATGCCAATTATGTAGTGGCCGGGAAAGGTGGGTGGAATGGATGGCTGAGGAGAGAGAGAGGGCTTTGCTACCATTAACCTGGCTCTGGGAGCTTTACAAGCCAGCAACGCGACATCGGTTCCCAAACTACAGTAGCCATCCACTAAAACGGGTCTCCAACCTTGGCCGCTTTAAGACTTGTGGACTTCAGCTCCCAGAATTCCTCGCCCAGCAAAGCTGGCTGAGGAATTCTGGGAGCTGAAGTCCACAAGTCTTAAAGCGGCCAAGGTTGGAGACCCCTGCACTAAACTTTAACTTTCAGACTGTGCGAACAAAGGGGTTCCTGGGAGTTGTAGTTCCAATATACCTGGAGCTTTAGGCTGGAGAGTAATTTCCACTATACCTGCCATGAATTTAGAGCAGTGTTTCTCAAACTTGGCAGTTTTAAAATGTTGGATTTCAACTCCCAAAATTCCCTGGCTGGGATATACAGGGAAAACTTTTATAAAAAAAGTTTTTTGTAGGATACAAAAGGATATACAAAAAACTTTTCTGTTGTTAAGTGAGACATTTGTGAAGCTGAGGTGCCTTGGGCCCAGTCTTGCGATACAATCTGGAATGAGTTTGAACCGTTGTGCCTTGAGGAAGGAGGCAAGGGTTCTTTGTGCTGTCAGGTTGACAGTCTGTTATTTAAACTGGTATCCTCTGGGATCGTGAAAGTGGTCATGGAAGCTGACCTTTGGTTGGGTCCTTACTATAGTAGTGGCTTCCTTAAGGGAGAGGATGATTCAACCTGTCTTGAAGAAAGTCATGTAGGGCTTTATAGATCATAATCACTAGCTTGAATTATACCTGGGACATTGGAACCCAGTGCGGTTCACAAAGTAGCAGTGTTACACGGACATAATAAGATTCTGTTTTATGGAGGACAGAAAAGCCGTAAGCACTCAATCTTGTCAGGGTTGAACTGGAACCTGTTCTTCCCCATCCAGACATTTACAGTGTCCAGATACTGAGAAGGACCCTTGATAACTTCCAGGGTGGATTTGATTTAAATCGAGTTGATTTAAATCACAATTTAAATCATGATTTAAATCACTAGTAAAAAGGCTTGATTTAAATCAACTTGATTTAAATCATAATTTTTAAAGAGCAACTGTCATCTCTGCTACTCCTTTGACCCACTGTTGACTCACCGATAGTCCCAGTGTTGCAGAATATACAGCCTCATGCTACATAACTAAGCTCCATTTCATGCTGAATAAACTAAATTATGTATCTTAAACAGAAAACCATCTTACGATAGATTTTTACCCCAAAAGTTTTTTATTAAAATAAATTCGATAAAAATCAAAAAAATCCGATTTAAATCAAAAAAATCCGATTTAAATCAAAAAAATCCGATTTAAATCAAAAAAATCCGATTTAAATAAAAAAAAATCTGATTTTTTTGATTTTTTAAAAAAAATCATTGATTTTTATCCACCCTGATAACTTCACTTGGACAGCCTGTATGGAGATGGATACCTGAGTATCTTTTGTGTGTGTGTGTGTGTAAGTGTATGTATGTACGTACGTGTGTGTGTGTGTGTGTGTATAGGTCTTTGGTTATTCGGGTTTTCTCCCGCATAAAATTGGAAGTGTCTTGGCGACGTTTCGACGAAGTCTCATTCGTCATCTTCAGGCTGGTGTTTTCGGCTTCATGCTTCTAGGAGCAATGTGTGTGATTGCAGCTGTTTCTTCCTTTTAACTGCCAGTGGGGGTGTGAACTGATTGGGTGGGAGCTTGGTTGTGTTCTGATTGGGTGGAGGTTTGTTCTGATTGGATGGGGGGTTGGCTGTGCTCTGATTGGATGGGGGTGTGTTCTGTTTGGGTGGGGGCTTGGTTGTGCTCGGGTTAGTCTGAGTTACAGAGGGATTTGAGCTGGTGAGCTGCGTTGCTGTTGTTTGGCTTCGTGGTCGTGGTCGTGCCACATCTTCATGGTGGGTGTCAGTTTGCTTCATGTATGGATTGGAGGGGTTGAAAGTGGCTAATGTAGCAGCTGTGGTCTGGCTTCTGGTTTGTGGTCGTGCCTCAGCATCGGTGTGGGTTTGAGTTTGCTTTTTGCGTGGATTGTGGTGGTGACACCCTGTGTGGTTTTCGTGAGTGTGGGTCTGGTGTCATTCTTTGTGTTAGGGACTCGTTTGTCAATAAGGGCGGGTTTCCAAATGGCTGGTAGGCGGGAAGTATCATCTCGTTTATTCATGCTGTGTGGGCGTTTTTCTATCTCGATGGCTTCTCTGATTATTCTGTTGTTAAAGTGTTCAGTTTTGGCAATCGTTCTGGTCTTTTTAAAGTCAATTTCATGTCCTGTGGCTTTAAGGTGTTGGACCAGGGAAGAAGTTGGTTCCTCTTTTCTGACTGAGTTCTTGTGTTCTTCAATGCGTGCACTTATTCTTCTGTTGGTTTGTCCTATGTATGTGGTGGGGCAGGCGGTGCATGGGATTTCATATACTCCTTGATTTTCTAACTCAATTTTGTCTTTGGGGTGGATATTTTTCGGTTTGTGCAGAATGCTGACTTGATGTTGTGTTTGTGGAGGATCTTGCTGATTCTGTCTGTGGTGCCTTTTATGTATGGGAGGAGGGCTTTGCTGTTTTCTTGTTCTCTGTCTTGGATTTTAGTGGGGGTTTCTTTTTGGATTAGGTTGGTAATCTTATTTCTTTGGAATCCATTGGATGTTAGTACATTAGTGAGAGTGTGTAGTTCGGTTTTTAGGTGTTGTTCGTCAGCTAAGTGTTTTGTTCTGGAGATGAGTGTCTTGGCTGGACACTCTGGGTGCTCCTCAAGGGGAGCCCCATGTAGAGAGCATTGCAGTAGTCCAGGCGGGAAGTGACGAGGGCATGAGTGACCGTATTTAATGAGTCCCGATCCAGCAACTGGTGAATCAGGCGAACCTGATAAAATGCCCTCCTGGCCACAGCCATCAAATGCCCTTCTAAAGACAGCTGTGAGTCCAGGAGGACACCCAAGTTGTGTACCCTCTCCGTGGGGGCCAACGACTCGCCCCCAATAGTCAGTGATGGCACCAACTTACTATATCGGGATGTCGGAAACCACAGCCACTTGGTCTTGGATGGGTTGAGTCTATTTCTCCCCATCCAGATCCGTACAGCCTCCAGGCACCGGGACATCACTTCAAGGGCATCGTTGGGGTGGTCCGGGGTGGAGATGTACAGCTGAATGTCCTCAGTGTACTGATGGTACTTCACCCCGAAACCACAGATGATCTCACCCAGAGGTTTCACATAAATGTTGAACAGAAGGGGCAAGAGGACCGACCCTTGTGGCACCCCACATACAAGGGGCCTCGGGGTTGACCTCTGCCCCCCTGCCAACACAGACTGCGACCGGTCGGAGAGAAAGGAGGAGAACCATCGCAACACGGTGTCCCCCAGCCCAAACTCTTCCAGCCAGTGCAGCATGATACCATGATTGATGGTATCAAAAGCCGCTGAAAGGTCTAATAGGACCAGGACACAGGAACAACCCCTGTCCCGAGCCCTCCAGAGATCATCAACCAATGCGACCAATGCTGTTTCTGTGCTGTACCCAGGCCTGAAGCCCAACTGGAATGGATCCAGATAAGCCGATTCATCCAGGTTCTGAGGGAGCTGTCACACTCTCAACAACCTTCGCAACAAAGCGAAGGTTGGAGACTGGACGATAATTAGCCAACACTGCCGGGTCCAGGGAAGGCTTCTTGAGGAGAGGTCTCACTGTCTCTTTCAAGGTGGCGGGAAAGACACCCTCACTCAAAGAAGCATTTATAATCCCCTGGAGCCAGCGTCGCGTAACCTCCCAGGAGGCCAGCACCAACCAGGAGGGACACAGTCCAATAAACATGTGGCCGCACTCAGTCTACCCAGTATCCTGTCCACGTCTTCGGGAGTCACAGAATCAAACTCTTCCCAGATAATATTCTCAAGACCTGCCTCCATCATCCCCCCTGAATCTACCCAGTCAGAGTCCAGGTGTTCCCAAATCTGAGCGATTTTGTCATACAGATAGTGTGGAAAGTCCTCGGCTCTACCCTCCAAGGGGTCCTCCCACGCTTCCTGGTGGAGCAGGGAGTGGGTCACCCTAAACAGGGCAGCCGGGCGATTATCTGATGACGCAATAAGAGTGGAAAAATAATTACATTTTGCCGCTTTTATCGCCACCAGGTAGGTCTTAATATAAGACCTTACCAGTGTTCGGTTGGATTCAGAGCGATTGGCTGTCCAACTGCTCTCCAGGCATCTTTTCCAGCACTTCATCTCCCTCAACTCCTTGGTGAACCAAGGAGCCAGGTGTGACTGGCGCCGGGTCAGGAGCCGCAAAGGCACGACCCAGTCCAAAGCTCCAGCGACCGCCCTATCCCAGGCGGCCGCTAGGACTTCAATCGAGCTGTGAGCCAGAGCCTCAGGAAATGGCCCAAGCTCCGTCTGGAACCTATCTGGGTCCATCAGGAGCCTGGGGTGGAACCACCTCATCGGTTCCGCCTCCCTGCGGCGCGGTGTGGCAGTTCGAAGGTCAAAGCAAAGGAGGGAGTGATCTGACCATGACAAGGGCTCCATCACTATATCCCCTATCTCAAGATCACTCAACCACTGACCAGAGACAAAAACCAAGTCCAGCGTGTTT